TTATATATAAATCAATGATCATCAATCAGATATATATAAGCTAATTACAGCTGATTGAAACTGTATATAAACTAAGAACAGTCAATTTGATATATTGGCAAATGAACAATGATCAATGTAATATATTTATAAGCAGATGACAGCTGATCTGATATATATATTAGTAGATATAAGCAGATAATAGTCAATCTGATATATATACAACTAGCACTGGAAAAATAGGGTAATTTCATCTATGGCGTAGGGTACTATTATTTGTGGAGTGGTAGCCTAAATTTTCATCATTTTCATCTTTTTTATTTTTAACGGTGATGATAATGCTCAGTCTGTTTTATTGGATAAAAAAACGAGTTTACTCTTTTTTGTAAAAAATGTCTGCGAGATTTCTTTTTGGGACTTGTAGCCATGTCGCAGAGTCAATAGTTGTAGGGAACTTAAACCAAATGATATCTTTTGAGTGAGATAATAAAGCTTTTTATTGTTGTAATATTTATTTATAAGTATGATGAGGTTAATGGTCGTGATATTACTACAAATATTTTTGTTGTATATGCTCTACAGCCAATAAAATGTACATGACGACATGTTTTAACAAAAGCATGTATTATTGTATTTTAGAATGAGGCAATCAATTACTGTTTAGAGAACTGCCCATTTTAATAACCGGAATAAACTATGTCATTTTGGAAGCTGGTATAATTTGGAAAGATATATATTAAATTGTGTTCCTGAACAATTTTCTATTCTTGTCAATTCTAAAGACTTAAAAAATAAAACACACGCACACAATATGTCAAACAACAACAACAATTCAGAATGCAAGTGCTCTAAATGCTCTTCCAATAGCATGGGATTTGTTTTGGTGTCTACCCAAACACTCAGAAGACATGCACAACAGGATATCGTGAGACAATATCAGTCAGGATCTTCTTGTAAGTTCAAATTTAAGAAAATTATTATTGAGACAATTTTAATTAAACATTTATTTTCATATAATATAGCCTCAGTTATAGAAGTAATGTCGAATGACAATGACATGGAGATTGACTTTGAAGACAATGTTGATGCTGAAGATCAAGTTGAAGGTATGCATAGTATTTTTATTAAAGTTTTATAATCATTTATAATATCTAATAATTTGATTCTTTTTTACCTAACAAAACAGCTGAAGACTTACCTCTTTTTGGCATTGATTCCTTGTTTGATTCTGAAAGCGAAGATGAGGGTGTCATTGAAGCAACCATTTTGGATATTTCTGACGATGAATCTGATGATGTTAGAGGTTAGTACAAAAAGCACATATAAATCAATAAAGTCAACAAGTATTGATTTTTTTTTCAAATAAAGCACTTTTCTTCATCCAATATGCCAGTCGATCCTACTCATGCTTTCATTGCTTCTTTTGCTGCCTTCTTCATATCCAAATATGTTGTCAATTCTGGTGGTGCTGTTCTGTTAAAGTTTCTTAACGAAGTATTGGCACACTTTGGACAGTCTTTCCGTCTTCCCCTCAGTATAAACGGTGTCAACTCTATGACCGGTCTCAGCGACATGACTCGAGGTGTCCAGCGGTTTGTTGCATGTGGCGATTGTAACAAAGTATACGAAGAGTCCGATGTTGTTCCAGAGTGCTGTAATTTCGAGAGACTCTCTGGTAGAGAATGTGAAAACGCTCTTTTCTTTGCAACATCAAGAGCCTTGACTATCCCCAAAAAGATCTACATGTATAACTCCATAATCAAAACATTGTCTATCCTTTTTTGCCACCCTGGATTCGAAGACACCATCAACCATTGGAGAATCAGAGTGCAAGTTCCAGGCATGATGTTTGACATTTACGACGGTACGAAGTGGAACAGTCTGAAGGATAGCAATGGTTTACCGTTTGTGAATCATGAGCGCTCCATAATGCTTACCATGAACATCGATTGGTTTCAACCTTTCGATGGGGTCACTTACTCCTGTGGTGCAATATACCTTTGTATCAACAACTTGCCAAGATCGGAACGGTACAAGAAGGAGAATGTTGTTCTCGTTGGTCTCATGCCAGGGCCCAAGGAAACAAAGACAAGTGAGATCAATCACTACCTCCGTCCCCTTGTCGCGGAACTCAACCAGTTGTATGGCGGTGTGGTGATGCCTACCGTACAGTGCCCATCTGGTGCTCTTGTCCGTGCTGCCCTTCTTCTTGTTGCCTGCGACATTCCTGCTGCCCGTAAGACTTGTGGGTTCACCTCTCATTCAAGCACACGTGCATGCAATAAGTGCAACCGACAGTTCCCTCGCCTTCCAGACTCCAATGCTGTGGACTACTCTGGGTTCGTGTTTTCTGAGTGGGTGCCTCGCACTGATGCCGAAAACCGCCGTGATGCCGAGTTGTGGAGAATGGCCAGCAGTGATGCACAGAGAAAGAGATTGGAGAGGGAAAATGGTGTCCGATAGTCAGAATTGCATGACCTGGTTTACTTTAACCTCGTGGAGTGCACTGTCATCGATCCGATGCACAACCTGTACCTTGGAACAGCAAAGAGGATAATGGAGAAATGGAGATCTTCAGGTCTCATCACAGATGCACACTTGGCCGAAATGCAGTTGGATGCTGACAAGCTTGTACTGCCAGAGGACTACACGCCATTAGGGACAAAGATCGGGCGTGGCTTCCCATTCATGAAGGCCGACGAGTAGAAGTCTTGGTGCTTGGTGTTCTCTCCTGTTCTCCTGCATGGTCGTCTACCTGAAGCTCATCTCGGTAACTGGACAACGTTTGTCAATGCATGCCAGTACCTCTCAATGCCAAGCATATCCATGGCTCACCTTGATGAAGCCCATCAATCTTTGGAGGCTTTCTGCAGAGAGTGCGAGAAGTTGTATAAAGCCCCATTCCTTTCGCCAAACATGCATCTCCATCTTCATCTGTGAGAGACTGTACTGAACTTTGGCCCGGTTTATGGCTATTGGCTTTTTAGTTTCGAAAGATGCAATGGTATCTTGAAAAACTATGCGACAAATAGAAAAGACAGGTTTGAGGGAACCTATATGAAGAAGTATCTTGAAGAAGCATACCAGGGAGATCTTATTCGCCAAACTTTGCCAATAATTCGATCTGAGCATTCGGCGATCATCCTTGAGCTCACTGCATCCACTGCCAATTCCATAGCCACTTCCACTTCCACTGCCACCTCAATCCAATTCGATATCAATGCTTTTCTTGATTCTCCTGAGATCAACTTTGATATCGTCAAGGGAAACGAGCCTTTGCCCCCTTCCGCACTTCCTTTAGCTCTAAAGGGGGAGATTTCCATGGATGAATCCGAGTATGAGCATTTGTTGGAATACTATCGCGAGACATACGATGATCAAACTCTTGTTCATTATCGTCAGGCTAGTCATTCCGATAATTTTGTTAACAATCAGATACAGAAGTTTGAATCAATCAATCTTCTTGGGCAAATCTACAAGAGCAAAACAAAGAATCAGCGTGGGTCGTTCATGCAAGCCTTGTTTGAGACAAGTGATGATAGAAGTACCAAGCCATACGCGGGCCAAATTCAGTACCTCTTTGTCAATACTGCTGTAAACTCGTTTGCTGGTCATGCGAGCCAGCATGTATTTGCATATGTATGATGGTACAAGGAAGTTTTACTTCAGCCCAGAGCAGGAGAAGGAGTTGAGGTGAATGAGGTGGGGTTCGAAGATGACAGCATGAACAGCATTCTCCCAGTGCATAGAATCTGCTATCCAGTCGCAGTAGG